GGCTATATGGAGTAATAGGAGGAGTTATAGATAGAGGTTATATGGAGTAATAGGAGGAGTTATAGGGAGGGGTTATATGGAGTAATAGGAGGAGTTATAGAGAGAGGTTATATGGAGTAATAGGAGGAGTTATAGGGAGAGGTTATATGGAGTAATAGGAGGAGTTATAGGGAGAGGTTATATAGAGTAATAGGAGCAGTTATAGAGAGAGGTTATATGGAGTAATAGGAGGAGTTATAGGAAGAGGTTATATGGAGTAATATGAGGAGTTATAGGGAGAGGTTATATAGAGTAATAGGAGGAGTTATAGAGAGAGGTTATATGGAGTAATAGGAGGAGTTATAGGGAGAGGTTATATGGAGTATTGGGAATAGTTACAGGAAAAGGTTAAATAGAGTAATTGGAGGAGTTATAAATAGAGGAAAAATTTTGTAATATGAGAATTTATAGGGAGTAATAGGTGGAGTTAAGGGAGAGGTTTTATTACTATTATTATTATTGCCATTTATATAGCGCCAGCAGATTCCGTAGCGCTTTACAATATTATAAAGAGGGGGGATTTAACTATAAATAGGACAATTACAAGAAAACAATAGGTTGAAGGGGACTGCTCAAACGAGCTTCCGGTCTTTTATAGAGTAATAGAATTTACAGAGAGAGGTAATATAATAAATTATAAATTTACTATAATACAATATCTTAAATTCCTTGCCTATGTAACATTCCACTTTTTCTTTTTACATGTGCCAGTTAAACTGACAGGATTGAGCATCGGCCTTTTCCACATGAGAAACTTGCCACAGAAAATATCAAAATAAATCAGCTTTATCAAACTGGAAGCTGTTAATGTAATGAAGGCTGCTGAATCCGTTTATAACAAGGCATTAACACATATCCTACTTGGCATAAAAGCTCAGAAACAAAAAAAAAATGTCTTCCTTACTATTCTTATTGCTAAACATATTTAAATATATATTGAATTTTCATTCTGAAAATAATCATTGCTGTAATGTATGCATAACCCAGAAAAAGAACTGCACTTTCACTATTGCATACTTTATAATCTCACTCTGAATATGTCCCATAAATATAACATCAGTGACATATTTTATAATCTACTTGTGACTGCATATATCTACTTCTATGTGAATATGATGCACGAAGATAGCATTAGTGACACCTTTATAAAGCTGTATTGCTTTACTTCCATTACTATGTGAATATGATGCACAAAATTATCTCAGGGACATTTTTGTAAAACTAATAGTGCCTTAAAGGAAGACTCCACAGCCCAAATACATAATAAAATAAAATAAAATGTCAGTGCTTATTAGATATGACCAAATGAAAACTTGCAAGCATTTAATTATGCACATTTTTCATTGGGGTTATATCTAAAAACAGCTTGTGAAACCTGCATTTATTTCTCTCCGCCATTTGTAAGCCCTCCCCTTCTAACCCTGCCCTGACTTTCTGTGTCTGTCCAATCACAGACTTCCCAATGCAGCTCAATGTGAAGTCTTTGCAAGTCAGGTGCTCTTGGCAATTGGTTCATCTTGAGTTTAGCTCCATTGAGCTAACCAAACCAGGAAGTAACAGGATTTGTTGCCTGTTTGATAGCAAGGGGGGGTGTAGCCAGGTTAATTTATAAAAGTGTCAATTTCTATCGAAATCTGCACTTTTTGCAAAATGGAATAAGAGGACACACTCTTCACACATAAAGCTTTCCAGCAAGCTAAAGTGCTTTAGGGGTCTGGAGTGTCTCTTTAAGATCTATTTCAATATAAATTAGATAAGGAAAATAAAAAAATATATGAACAGGGAAACGTATTACTGCCAGGGAACAGAGGCCCTTAAATATTGAGCCAAGTATTTGAGAACGGAGTATGAGGCAATTTTGGTTAAATCCCATGGAAGCAAGTTACAGTTAAATGATAGTTTGTCACAATTGATATGTAGGCTATAATTCAGTTTCCTGTCTTTTCAAAAGCTTGTTCTGTTAGAAGCAGTAGAAAACGGCAATGGGCAGCTCTAGGCTGATCGGCACCCAGTACACAGAAAAGAAATTGTGATTTTCTTTAAAAAACAAACAGAAAAAAAAAGTAGAACACGACTGATATTCTAATTACGGACATTAAGATTCCATTATTTTGCTAATCATATTTTACGAAAATTGTATAAATTAGCAACATATAATGGGACAAAGGGCAAATCTGGTGTACTTTGCTAATAGTGTAGCTATCAACAAGAACATTCCATTGGTTACCACGGTGACTGCTCCACTGTGCTCAAATTGCTATATTCATGCCTTATAGCAGGGGCATGCAACCTTGCTCCCCCCTGCTAATAAAGGGATATGGTTGTAACATGGCTAGAATTAAGGGGAATTATTTTCAGCTATATTTGGGCTACCCGTATTGGATACTGCTGCCATATAATATCGTAGATAACCTATAAGGTCCTGATGATCTTCACCTCGCAGATGGCTTGGGGAGTAGTCTAATGATTAGTGATCTATCATATATTCATGGCTCATTGAGGAAATATGGATGGTGATAAGGCTAACCAATGCAACCCAGATGTTTGTGAACTCAATGAGTTGCACTGCTGCATTATGGGAAGTTGTTTTTTTCCCCTGATTTTGCATAGTTTTTAGAACAGTTATTTTTTTCATGTGTTTCTCCAAGCCCTCTCATAGAAGAGGCACCCGGAACACAGGGCTGGAATTGAACAAGGTTTACAGTGAATGCTTGTGTCAGTTCTTAGAAAACAACTCTATCTGTTTAGGCCTTCAACGAACAGGGCTTACACATCATGTATGAGAAAGACTGTATTCACTGCAACAGCAAACACAAAACACAGCACAAAAAAAACCATCAATGAATTAACAAGTAACTAGTCCAATGCATGCATCACTGGCAAAGGTTTAAACCAGGATGGAGACTGAGATGTACATCTAGACATAGCTTAGGTCTTCTGTTATTTTCTTAATGATATAAAATACTCTCAGAGTGAATGGTATTTCAGTTTACAGGCATTGCCACAGTAGCTGGCATAAATTTCAAATGCACTGTATCTCCCACCGCCATGGAGACTGCCTGCTATGCAAATACAGCACTCAGATTATAATTATGGTATGAAGACACATCAATAAAAAGATTCCAAGTTAACTTCTGTCCTGGCCTGTCTCAAAGAGCTTACGCTCACATCCCTATTTTAGCTATGTAAAGGCTGGTATCTTGAACTGAGTGAGATGGGAGACTGGGGAATATCCAGAGCTGTTTTGCCTTGCACTCTATTCATATGTCTGATATTCCCTGGAAAACAGTTTATGGGCAGCTTTTAATTCATTGAAAATTTAGATCCCAAAATGAAGCAGCATCCAGTAAGTGTTTCTTTTACACAAAGTAGGTAAAACAGAGCAACATCCAGCAGGCAACTGACTGTCTACCTTATATACCTGTGTATTTAAACTAATCTTTATAGGAGTAATATAAAATAGCTTATAACTGGGTAGACTGACAGACTGACGGACAGACAGTGAGACAGACAGTGAGATAGACAGACAGGCAAACAGACAGATGATAGGGTTAAATATATAAACCAATAGATCGTTCAGGATGAGCAGACAAATATATAGTAGCATAGATGGGTCGAATGGCAAAAATATGTATTTTAGACAAATGATGTACAGTGCAAATGTATTGATCACCTATTGCAATATGCTCTCACATGTAAAGTGTAAATTACATTTACACAGGTGTAATATCCTGTACCTATTTAGCATATATGTCCAAATAAACAGTAAACAGCACTACACGGAAAGCTCTACACTGGAAGCCAAATCTATTTAATTGAAATAACAGATGTATACAATATAAAATCTGAATTAATTAGATGCGGAGAGGGATATAGAGGTAGTAATGTAGTAGGATGGATAGATGGACTGGCACATGGACAGACAGAGACAAATATAGTAGGGGATAGATAGATAGATAGATAGATAGATAGATAGATAGAGCACTGGTTGGACATTACCCTTTTCTCTATGATATTTTTACCGAATGGCTGTATGCAGCAATATTAGTGTGTGCTACTTAATAATGGGTCAATGCACTGCAGTGCTGTATACATTCATGTACGTACTACATAGAATGAAATATACCTGTACAGATCACACACAGCTTCCCATTGCAGTGCTGCATATAGCTGCTTTACATTTGTATACAGCAGAACTGTGTATATCTGTGTGGATGTTTGCAATTTGCATTTATAGAAATCTCAGACTGGGTTAGATATTCCCTTACTCTATATCAAAAAAATAAACAAAATACATTCCATTTTAATAAAAAAAATATGTAACATGACATGTGCATACCACCATAAATGAATATTGCATGTGTAAATGTAATAATGATATACATACACAAACATACACATATAATTGTGAATATGAGTATTCATATGAACTCAACAACATACATTGAATATATTTTGTATTTTACAGTTCCAGTGTCTGCAATACTGGCATTCTGTGAACACATATTATATGCATTTTTTTTTAACTATTCTAATTCCTGACACACATATTTACGTATACCAGAAAAAAAAATCATACATTAAAACTACAGGTAGTATGAGGTAATATTTTTCTGCATGGTTGACATATACATAAGCGGTTCACTTATTTAGGACCACACATATTTTAATACGGATACAAAGCCATCTAATACCCTTCCATGAAAACCAGCTGCATATAAATTAATACAATTATCTAGACATGTTAAAAATATACATATAAAAACCCACTAGCATGTGTGTTGAATAGATGAATATAAATAGACCAGCTACACTTACAAAGTAGATATATTATATATACATTTATATATATATATATATATAGGTTTTTTTTGTTTTTTAATTCTGTTGGTACTGTGACTGCCTGACAGCCCCTGCGGTGCATCATAATTACATCCCTCCCCCTCCCCCCCCCCTCATTTCTACACAGTAAAAGGATATGGCCATTCGGTGATTTTTTTGGCGTATTTCCTCACCACGTTGTCTTCGCTGAAGAGGAAGAGTGAACGATTGACAGTAAAGCAGTTCTGCCGCACAGGGATAGGGTTGTATAGTGCCATGGTGCGGGCCCTCTGTGCCATTGACTGTTTGTAGATCCGCTGGGCCCCTGGGGGCCCGCCCTGCCGGCTTCCGCGTCCTGCGCCACCTCCGCCACGGGCCGGTACTTCATCCCCAAAGCGTGCCATGCTGACGGGGACAAAGTCCATGGGTTACCGGATACCGTGGAGTGAGAAAAAGACAAAAAAGATGGAGAAGAACGGACACTGCAAAGCATCACATATCATCCAGAGAGGCTGCGTCCAAAATCTGGCTGCCCACTCCTTAGGGATCTTCGTAAGGAGGTATTTAAATGTAGATATATATATATATATATATATATATATATATAAAACAGTTTTTTTTTCTTTTTTAATATATCTATATATATATATATCTATATATATATATATGTATATCCGGAGAAGAAAAAGGAGGAAAAAATATATAAATATATAGATAGATGGATGTACAGCAAACAATCTGTTTTCAGGAAACAGAGGATCTGAACTTAAGAGTTGCACACTGAGCAGAGAAAATGCAGGCAGAGAGATGCTCAGGTGTATTCGGAAACATGTAGGCAAATCTATCTATATATACATATATATAAATATATACAGGGTCTTCATGCAGAGCTAAAAATTATTCAAAGTCCAATCCGCAGGCAGAAAAATAGATATATGTATATAAAAATAACGGTTAAAAACAGTGAGGGAGAACTCATTCTCTTCACCACCTCTCCTGGCTTATAGAAAAAAAATAAATGAAAATGAAAAATAAAAAAAAAAAGGATCAGGGGTCTGGAGGTGTGGACCCACTCCTCGGTGCACTCTGCCTTTTTCAGAGCTGTATCTTTCACGCCGCAGTTTGAAGATCCTGCAATCCGTCCGGGGTGGTGGGAGGAGGAGGAGGTGGAGGAGGAAGGGAGAAGGAGGAGAAACAGCGAAGAGGAGTGTATGTATGTATGTGTGTGTGTGTGTTGGGGAGGCGGGGGTGATAGAGGGTGGATGGAGATAAGGCAAGATTTCAGAGTATGAGCCAGCACTAGAAAACCAAATGATCAAGCTACGGTAACATTTTAGAGGGAAATATTTACTGCAGAATACCTAAACAAGGAAAAATCATATTGAGTTTGATGAGAGACCAGTTAAGGGAAAGCACTGTTGGGTGGAAGGGTGTGTTAAAGTTCCATTTTATTCTCTTTTCTGGACCTCTTCACGTCACTATGTCTAGAAAATGATACTTCAAGTGTAGCCTATTTGGGACAGCATCAGGTAAGTATCAATCCTTCACAACATCAGCAAATAGAGATGGAGGAGGACGGTAAAGCGAGAGAGATTGGGAAAGAAGGAGGGGAGAGATATGCTGCAGTCTTACCCCCACCCCTTAACTCCCCAGTCCTTTGCAATGCTAAAGTCGGTCACTTGCCACCTGTGTATTAATGGGGACTGATGGCAGCACAGAATGGGGGGATTCGTATAAATGAACCAGATATTTACAAAACCCCTATAAATGAGAATTTTTTTTAAGGTGGAGGTGTAATGAGCAATAGCTGGGCAATTTATCCTGGCTTCTCAGTCTGATCTACACATGATACCCTCAGGCCAATCACTGCAGCAGCTGGCCTGCCAAACCCACAGGAGTTTCTGTAGGTTGGGGGAAGGGATGTAGAAAACAGATAGAATGGGGAGCAGAAGATAGATACTGAAGAGAGCGAATGTGGTGGGAGTACAAGAGAGGAAAAGAGGGGGAATGGGAACGATGGCTGGGGAAGGAGAATGGGAAAAGGTTGAGCAATAATGAAAAATGTGAAAAAAACAAACTGGAGCTGTACAGAGTAAATGAGAGAAAAACATAGGTGAACAGAAAAGGTGTGGGTGAACTGTAGCAAGTGAAAGAGAAAGCAAGAAAGGAAGATAGAAGAATAGGAAACAATAAGGATAGGGTCAGCTGGGCAGCAGGGACAAGAGGACAGGGAGGGAGGCAGTGGGAGCATTGCAGTGATGTGTTACACATTGCACACAGCTTGTACAGGGAGCTCTCCATAGTGCTGAAAGCATTCACCAAGCTACAGCACTGGCCCCAGTTATCTATGAAACCGTGCTGGCTTTAACCACTTCCCTGCCTTACTATAAGAAGCCACAGCATAGAGAGAGGAATGGTGATTAGAGTGCACCTGTGTACGCTACACATCTAATAACTGCAGAGTATTATATCAGTTCAGTGAGTGCTGAATAGAATTTAAGCTTTAAATTGACAAAATATAGAAATGTCAAGCTAGACAGCTTGCTTACCTATTTAACATGAATCTAATCTATCTATCTCTCTATCTATCTATTCAGGTTCTATCTATATATCCATTCATCCATCTATCCATTATCTATTTATCTATCTATCTATCTATATATATATATATATATATAGATCCATCCATCCATCTAGCCATTATCTAACGATCTATATATCCATCCATCTATCTAACTATCCATCCATCTATCCATTATCTATCTATCCATCCATCCATCTATCCATTATCTATCTATTGATCTATCGATCTATCCATCCATCTATCCATTATCTATCCATCTATTTATCCATCCAACCATCCATCCATCCATGTATCCATTATCTATCTATTCAGTATCTATCTATCTATCCATCATATATCTGTCTGTTTGTCTATCATCCATCCATTATCTATCTATCTATTTATCTATCTATCTATATGTCTGTCTGACTATCTATCTATGTATTCTTTCATTTATCTATTCAGTATCTATTTATCTACCTATTTATCCATCCATCTAATTATCCATCTATTCATCTATCTGTTCACCATCAATCCATCCATCCAGCCATCTATATATTCATCTATTAACCATCAATCCATCTATCTAGATAGATACTGGATGGATGGATAGACAGACATACTGAATAGATGGATAGATATATAGATAGACAGACAGATACTGAATGGATGGATAGATAGATAGATAGATACTGAATAGATAGATGATGGATAGATAGATAGACAGATACTGAATGGATGGATATGTAGATAGATAGATAGATAGATAGATAGACAGAGATACTGAATAGATGATAGATAGATACTGGATAGATAGATATACAGATACTGGATAGATGAATAGATGGATAGATACTGAATAGATAGACAGATACTGAATAGATGGATGGATGAATAGATAGATAGATAGATAGTGAATAGATGGATGAATAGATAGATAGATACTGGATAGATAGATAGATAAATAGATAGATAGATAGACAGATACTGAATGGATAGATGGATAGATAGATAGATAGATAGATACATCTATCCATTATCTATCTATCCATCCATCCATCTATCCATTATCTATCTATTGATCTATCCATCTATCCATTATCTATCTATCTATATATCCATTCATCCATATATCCATTATCTATCTATCTATTCAGTATCTATCTATATATCTATCTGTATGTCTGTCTGACTATCTATCTATGTATCAATTCATTTATCTTTTCAGTATCTATCTATTTATCTACCTATCTATTCGGTATCTATTTATCCATCCATCTAATTATCCATCTATTCATCTATCTATTAACCATCAATCCATCCATCAAGCCATCTATTCATCATCTATTAACCATCAATCCATCAATCTAAATAGATGATGGATGGATGGATGGATAGATAGACAGACAGATACTGAATAGATGGATAGATAGATAGATAGATAGACAGACAGATACTGAATAAATGGATGGATGGATAGGTAGATAGACAGATACTGAATAGATAGATTGATAGATAGATAGATAGATAGATAGACAAATACTGAATAGATAGATAGATAGACAGATACTGAATAGATAGATAGACAGATACTGAATAGATAGATAGATAGATAGACAGACATATACTGAATGGATAGATAGATAGATAGATAGATAGATAGATATATGGATAGATAGATAGATAGACAGACAGATACTGAATAAATGGATGGATAGCTAGATAGACAGATACTGAATAGATAGATTGATTGATAGATAGATAGATAGATAGATAGATAGACAAATACTGAATAGATAGATACATAGACAGATACTGAATAGATAGATAGACAGATACTGAATAGATAGATAGATAGATAGATAGATATATATATAGATAGACAGACATATACTGAATGGATAGATAGATAGATAGATATATGGATAGATAGATAGATAGATAGATAGATAGATAGACAGATACTGAATAGATGGATAGATAGATAGATAGATAGAAAGATAGATAGATAGACAGATACTGAATGGATAGATAGATAGATAGATAGATAGATAGATAGATAGACAGATACTGAATAGAGGGATAGATAGATAGATAGATAGATAGATACTGAATGGATAGATAGATAGATAGATACTGAATGGATAGATAGATAGATAGATAGACAGACAGATACTGAATAGATGGATGGATGGATAGATAGATAGATAGATAGATAGATAGACAGATACTGAATGGATAGATAGATAGATAGACAGACAGATACTGAGTAGATGGATAGATAGATAGATAGATAGATAGATACAGGATAGATGGATAGATAGATAGATACTGGATAGATAGATAGATAGATAGATAGATATTGAATAGATAGATACTGAAAAGATGGATAGATAGATAGATAGATAGATAGATACTGGATAGATAGATAGATAGACAGACAGACAGATACTGAATAGATGGATGGATAGATAGATAGATGGATGGATAGATACTGAATAGATGGATAGATAGATAGACAGATAGATAGATAGATAGATAGATAGATACTGAATAGATGGATGGATGGATAGAAACATAGAAACATAGAATGTGACGGCAGATAAGAACCATTCGGCCCATCTAGTCTGCCCAATTTTCTAAATACTTTCATTAGTCCCTAGTCTTATCTTATAGTTAGGATAGCCTTATGCCTATCCCACGCATGCTTAAACTCCTTTACTGTGTTAACCTCTACCACTTCAGCTGGAAGGCTATTCCATGCATCCACTACCCTCTCAGTAAAGTAATACTTCCTGATATTATTTTTAAAGTCCCTCTAATTTCTATGTCCTCCTTTACTGTGTTGATTCCCTTTATATATTTAAATGTTTCTATCATATCCCCCCTGTCTCGTCTTTCCTCCAAGCTATACATGTTAAGATCCTTTAACCTTTCCTGGTAAGTTTTATCCCACAATCCATGAACCAGTTTAGTAGCCCTTCTCTGAACCCTCTCTAAGGTATCAATATCCTTCTGAAGATACGGTCTCCAGTACTGTGTACAATACTCCAAGTGAGGTCTCACCAGTGTTCTGTAATAGATGAATAGATAGATAGATAGATACATCTATCCATTATCTATCTATCCATCCATCCTACTATCCATTATCTATCTATTGATCTATTGATCTATCTATCCATTATCTATCTATCTATATATCCATCCATCCATATATCCATTATCTATCTATCTATTCAGTATCTATCTATCTATCTATCTGTATGTATGTCTGACTATCTATGTATCAATTCATTTATCTATTCAGTATCTATCTATTTATCTACCAATCTATTCGATATCTATTTATCCATCCATCTAATTATCCATCTATTCATCTATCTATTCACCATCAATCCATCCATCAAGCCATCTATTCATCATCTATTAACCATCAATCCATCAATCTAGATAGATGATGGATGGATGGATGAATAGATAGACAGACAGATACTGAATAGATGGATGGATAGATAGATAGATAGATAGACAGACAGATACTGAATAAATGGATGGATGGATGGATAGATAGATAGACAGATACTGAATAGATAGATAGATAGACTGATAGATAGATACTGAATAGATAGATAGACAGATACTGAATAGATAGATAGATAGATAGATAGATAGACAGATACTGAATGGGTGGATAGATAGATACTGAATAGATGGATAGATAGATAGATAGATAGATAGACAGATACTGAATGGATAGATAGATAGATAGATAGATAGACAGATATTGAATAGATGGATAGATAGATAGATAGATAGATATACAGATACTGAATGGATAGATAGATAGATACTGAATAGATGGATAGATAGATAGATAGATAGATACTGAATAGATGGATAGATAGATAGATAATGAATAGATGGATGGATAGATAGATAGATAGATAGATAGACAGATACTGAATGGATAGATAGATAGATAGACAGACAGATACTGAGTAGATGGATAGATAGATAGATAGATAGATAGATAGATACAGGATAGATGGATAGATAGATAGATAGATAGATACTGGATAGATAGATAGATATTGAATAGATAGATACTGAAAAGATGGATAGATAGATAGATAGATAGATAGATAGATAAATAGACAGACAGATACTGAATAGATAGATGGATAGATAGATGGATGGATAGATACTGAATAGATAGATAGATAGATAGATAGATACTGAACAGATGGATGGATGGATAGATGGATAGATAGATAGATAGATAGAAAGCTTAATATCAGGTGATTTGTCAGATATATCACAATTGCCATTCTGTCACTGCTGCTCAAAAACCTTGTATTAACACTGATCGCTCACTACTGCCAGTGTCAGTGCATTATCAAAATGTACTTTCACAACATAATCACTAACCTGTCAAAATACTGCATTTTTATGACATTATCGCTGCTCCCTCATACAGTGTACTTACACTATGTTATCACTGTCCTGTCAAAACACTGTGCTCTCATTATCAATGTTCAATCAAAACACTGTACATTCATGGTACGACCACTGCTTTCACTTCATTACCACTGCTGCCTCAAAACATTGTGCTTTAACTACATTATTACTGTGCTAAAAACATTGTATAGTTGTAAGTCTTTGTGCTGTTTACAATGAACAAATCAAACAAAAGCAATTGAAATAGTACAACACAATGAACACTTTAAGTGGTTTCCCAAATTCAAATGAAAACACAACTTATAATGATGTCTCCAGTCTCAAAATTATGCAACCAGTTGAATAGAAACCTTCACAACAACTCAGATATACAAAAGAGTTGTTGTCTCCAGCACACCTGATACAACTAGTCAAGGGCTTTATTAGTTGCACCAGGTGTGCATGAGCTGGAACACTTAAACTACCTGAACTGGCAAAGGGTTTGTTGAGTGTCATGTTTGACTGCATGTTAGAAATAAGGCTACTTCAAAAGAATGGTCCACAAAGTTAAGAGAAGAGATCGTCGCCCTATACAAACAAGGAACAGGATACAAAAAGATAGCGAAGTCACTGAATGTTCCTAGAGACAAGATTACTTTATTGAGATGTAGTGGTCTTGGTGCATATAGTGTTCCTTTAAAGACTTTCAAATACAATCCTCCACAGTGGTCTCAATGTTCCTTCCAGTATGTGTGTATCAAGTGCACATATAATGATTTGGGTCTCAGAGAGATTCAAACGTGTTGGGATATTTTCCGAGCCTCTCTCCTTATTTTATTTATTTATTTATTTATTCGGGTTTTATGTTTTTCTATAAAAGTTACTTCTAATATAATTAATTTGGATAAACACTATATCTCGAAAGTTTGCTCTCTCTTAGATCCTGTAACCAATTATACGTGGATCAAAAATTATTTCACTGCATTATACTGCTCCATGAAAACATTGCGGTTTTTTTGCATTTTCATTGCTATACAGTACTCTAGGTTTACTACATTATCACTGCTCCATCAAAAATTGGATTTTCACTGCCTTATAATTTTTTAGTCACTCTAGTAACATAGTAATGCCCCTGTCACTACAGCCACTCCTGTATGAGTGCGCTATTACTGTGCTATCACACTGCACTATCTCTGTTTTCAACACTGCATCCTTGCACCTTGCTATGACTGCAACATGTTGTTGCATTTATTTTTCTGTTACAATGTGGTAATGTGCACTTTTGTGGCATTACACCTGCCTTCCCTGGGCACTTTAACCCCTTCACTATCATCACTATTTTCATCAAAAAAACGACATTTATTTGTGAATGCATACCTAGCACATAAACATTGGATAACACAACATTTATTGAATTGCTGCTAAGGGATACCTATAAATTTACGTCAATTCACACAATTTAAAGTTTTCATTTATTCTTTCATCTCTTACAGATAAAACATTTTAGAGTTTATTCTGTATCCCTTATCTTGCAATATATGTTAGAAATATTATCACATAGGCAGAAATAATATTCCTACCACATAGGAGTCAATAGGTTCTGTGTATTTGTAAGGGATTTGATGGCATTTTTGGGACTATAGCTTACTAAACCTGCCACAAAAACACATACTGTAGGTACACTTACTTTGTTAACATCAAGCTTCCAGGCATGTATAGAAGAAACATTGTCATGTACTCAGAATGTTATGCCACTTTGGCTTCTAGAATGCAGTCATGTTGCTTAAAGGGACACTTTAGTCACCAGAACAACTACAGCTTGTATTTGTTCTGGTGGGTAGAATCATTGCCTTCAGATTTTTTGCAGTAAACACTGTATTTTTAGAGAAAATGCACTGTTTACATTACAGCCTAGGGATAACTCCACTGGCCACTAATCAGATGGCTGCTAGAGGTGTTTCAATGCATCTCTATGAGGAGATGCTGATTGGCCAGGGCTGTGTTTGGCTTGTGCTGGTTCTGCCCCTGATCTGTCTCCTTGAAAGTCTCAGCCAATCCTATGTGAAAGCATTGGTGATCCCAGGCATGCAGATCATTGGCAGAGGCAACAGCTGCAGACCTGTATACAAGTTAGATTTTACTATATTTAGGGAGGGCAAGGTGGAGCCAGGGGGTGGGAGGGGGGGGCTAAATGGTGGTTTTAATACTATAGGTTCAGGAATACATGTTTGTGTTCCTGACCCTATAGTGATCCTTTAACCTACAAAGGCTTCTGTAGAATATAGGAGGAGAGGGTTGTACCATTTACAGTCACTCAGAAGCAAATGAGCTGGAACGAGCTCTCTCAGAGAAATGTGTTTTTCTGTATTTTCAAGACTGGTACTGGAGTAAGAGTGGGTTTTATAAGCGATATTTTGTGGTATATTTCATAAAATAAACCATTCGGAAAGGATTGGGTTAAGCAGGCACTCTATTTGCAGTACAACGCTTGCCAGCTCTCTACCAATGCATTTTACCTTCTACATTTGCAGTATTATCACTGTGCACTGCCTGAGCTGTTCATTCTGCAGATATTACTGTATCATCACTGCTATATGTGCGCCCCTTTTTAAGGTAGTCATGCTATTATTGACCTGTCATCACAGTCCCTCTGGTGAGTTAGTGATAATCCCATCTCTATCACTCCCACAGACCAATAGCATTCTATGTGGTTAACCTTTTCACTGCCGTAAACATGGTGAGAGTCATGGCATTAACCTTTTCTCACGTCCCTGCAGTCTACTGTTCTGTTAGTTCTGTTTATGTTTGAAATAACAGCATTAAAACCATTCACTGCAGAACATTGCTCAATTAATTCTTCGGCTTCCCAAGACTTAGCCATGGATTATTTTACCAGAAATACGTTTATATATGGTATTTCAATATCTATTTTCTCATCGTCGTATATGGGAACATTGCTATGCAATAACCACAAATAAAACCATCTCTTGTGCAATAATAATAATAATAATAATGCAAATCACTGCAAACGTTAATCTGCATTCACGGTGCTGAAATTCCGAACTTTTTTGGCATTTATTCTTCCTGTCGTAGGTATATATACAGTATATGTCTATCACAGCTATTGCCTTGATCTTTGAGGCATCACTATATGCTGAAAGAGAAGTGAACCCCAACCCTGATATTAATGTATTATCTTCTATCAAAATCCTATTGACCATTAGCTCATTAACCTCTGTGCTTCCAGTGTAGCCCCCTAGCCCTATGTTTCTAATGCTAGTTCATCCTATACCAAGTGGATGAGGAGTTAACAGTTTCCCAGCAGGCACTTCTGCTGACACTGGAGACAGGCACTTAGCTCACTCCCATATTCAGCACTTTAAGGCTTCAGGGAAGGGAAAGTAGCTGACCAGGAGAGGCAGTGAGGCCTGATGAGAAGGTGGAGGGGATTAACTCTGTGTGCCATTTCACTATGATTGCAAATAGAAGCAGATCACATGTTAACTAATACTCAGCATACGCTCTATGACGCCCCCATTTGAGTATCACTCATTACTAAGTACTCATGCCTGTTTGCAATAATGGAGTGTTATTTATTACCAATAGATCTGTGTCATTACCCAGCAGCCAGGTCTTTAGCAGTGAGTGCAATTTATTAACACTGTCAGTGTGTGTCACTCATGAGAACAATGAATGTCTCGCTTGCAATAAGTATAGCGGGTTCCTGGCAACTCTTCATAGGAGTAGACCATCCTCTTTCAACTCTGTAGTCCTTATGAATGTCAGTCATTGACCTCAAGTCAAATGCCGGTCGCTCATAAATGAGTTGCTTCAGCCGCACTGAGTCTTACTTACTGGCACATAGTATTCCCCATTACTAATAACCAGTCAATGGATGGGAATTGCCAATCATTAGCAGGCAGTCTGTGTCACCGACTGTGAGTGCCATCTCCTGTTAGGCTGCCTGCGTCACTAGCAGTGACAAGAGCCTCTCATTGGCTGTCTTATTAGTAATGAATTTCACTCTTTAGCATGTACTTTGTGTCATTGTGCATGAGTGTCACGATTCTCGGAATCCTCAACTGTCTTGTGGTCAAACCTCCCTACCTACAATAGATCACTGCATTCATACACAAAATAGGGAAGAGCCTCTGCATTCTATTCATAAATATATATCTAACATGTACTGCATAAAAAGAATGCTTGTTCCTTTCATTTTCTGTACCTCCGACGTGTTGACCAGAGAAGGCCAGTGGTTTCAGATATGCAATGTCTATGATGAATGAATCTATATATATGATCTGCATATGAGACTCTATGATTCATATTTCCATCTATGTAAGATGAGATATGTATGGGTGTAATGCATGCATGTTGTCTACATTGTGATGTGAGTAGAGTTGTCAGATTACCATGTTTTTACATATGAACACATTATGCTGTGGTCTGTATGTTACAGAAGCATAAAAAATAATCACGAATCACAAAGCAAAAGCCATGTTGACATGATTTCAGCATGTCAATGCTACATACTACGGGAAATGTTTTTCATAGTATGAAACAATTACATATGTCCTGCAAACATATGGCGACAACTTTAGAATACAGAAGGGAGCGTATAATGTGGACTAGCTATGTATAAAACGTATCTTCTCCTGTCATTTTAATTATGGCACACACTACAATGTGGCCAGCTATAGTGTGTTTCTTATTGCAGTACTACACACACACTATAAACACACAGCAACATTTAATCACTGTTATGAACGCTGGTCTCCCAAATAACTATTCTTCCAGACTTTGTGATTATAGCCCTGTTCGCCTGGAGCGCTAAGTCGATCATTACCGAAATCCTAGGGAGCAGAGACGAGAAACACCGCAACACAGCAATTGCATACCCAAACATCAGTCGGAACTAGATGAAGGGTACAATAGGAATGTTTTATTCGGGCCAAAGGGCTGGCTTTTGTGCTTTTAAGTCTGAATACATAACACACACCCACAGAAACTCCCACAACACGCCCCCATGAAAAGCTTGAGTCATCGTGACACTGCAGAAATTACAGAAATATAAAAATATGAAATAATGCATAATAAACATGTTCAAACCCCCCACCAATTTTACATGTCCAGATAGCTGGTATCAGAGAGCCCAATATGGTCAAATAGCGCTCTAATCCCACGTTCCTAGCGGAAACACCACTGTGGCAAAGAATTGACCGACCGCACACGATACGGATGCCTACAATAGTTCCATAAGTTCCATGTTCGCTGTCGGTCAGTTCGAATGGTCGGTGAATTGACCCAAAAAGGGTTACTGTCTCTGGGGCTCAAATGTAGCAATGGCTCAACTTGGTACGAAGAGTCACCACACCAAATAGCACTCTCCTGGCGATATGGGAAAGGAGAGCAAAGGTCCATGGAAGATGCCCCCGGGAATCGCTCGGTCGAGTGTCCGATCTAGGGAACCAGACACTCGACGGCCAAGTCCCGCTGTTATTATCCTAGTGACAAGATGGCCGCCGTTTTCTCTGGCACGCGGTGAACAAGTATCCGAATGGCGACTACCGAACAGGGAACTTAAATACTCGTCTCCCATCCAAATTATTGGGCCAAAAGAGACAAACGAATTTGGTATCAAAGTCCAGATATGGGGTTTTGTCAAATTACCATCAAACAAAGACAGCAGTATGTGTATCACAGGGCTGTCTGTCCTTAATTAATGCTGAATATTGGTGATGAATGTGTGCATGTTTGCATTTGCCCACCCTGGTTTAACTATGGAAGATAACTGCAAGGAAGCACAGATTTTTGCCGGAGAACTCAGTTCCTACTCCTTTGTGGCAGTGGAGATGCTAACATCTTGACTGCATCCATGAATGAACAAAAAAATAGAGGAACTCAATAGGGCTGGAAGCAAAAAGATAGAAAGAGGTAGGCCTTAAAGGGAAGACTCAAACAAGCTATCTGTGAAATCGTCTGTCTCTATGTAATAGATACTGACTGTCTGTGAAAACATGTGTTCACGTTTTACTGATCATCAAAATGCTAGGAACAAAGACTGTTCTTGCCAGCACAGAAGGAATTCAATGAGAGTGGCATTACTACACTCCAATTTACCTTAGCTTATCCTGTGTTATCATTCTAGACCCAAACCCCCTAAACATCTCTACCAAGAGATGATAGAGAAATACACTAGTCCAGCCATTTATCCTAGCCAAAATATTATCCTAATACACATTATTATTATTTTATTATTATATAGCGCCATCAGATTCCGTAACGCTGTACACATGGACTATATCAACATCTCTATGGAGAACTCATCCAGTCCAGCCATCGATCTTTGCCCCTGATTCCTATGCGAGGCCAGGGCTGTATTACATCTTTGCCAAGTAAGAATTCCACCGGTCAAAGCTGTGTATATTGGTACCAAACGCATCAACTTTAGAAGTAGAGACCTTTACCAACCCAGGCATCCGTCCTGGTGATGTAATGTCATATTAAAAAGGCATGCAGAAATACAAAAATTTAGCAGTAGACAGTAATGGGATGTGTGACAGAACCATCTATCTGCCTATTGTGGTGGATTTGTCTATTCCCCGTTCGTGTAAATGGCTGTTTCTATAGCCCAGCCATACGAATGACTGTTTTCACCGTACAAATTCACCGAACGGATGGCCACCCAGAAGAAGAAGTGTGCTGCTGGTTAACCTCTTGATCCCAATTAGAACGATTTCAGCATGTCTATGCTACATACTACGAAAGCGTACGAACACCAGCCGTTTGGGAGTTTTGAAACACACGAAAGGACTTAACCCAGATAGCCTTCCTATGGAGTCAATTGCATACCGAAAGACTGTAAGAACTTTGACTCCATGGCGATTGTACTATGTGTGTGGGATCTGAGTGCTATTCGCTAATAATATGCACTCAGATCCAGGCTATCTGGGGATATGTGATGCGAATGGGAAATGTTCGGTTATTTTAAAGTTATATATTTTTATGTATTTTTTGGTATTGCATTTAAGATGGCGATTTGTCTTTGTCCTGGAGATAATTGAATTACTTCTCAATTATCTCCAGGGCAGAGGGGAGGAAACCATATTGCATTGTGGGAAAAGCTTGTGATTGTATGTCTAAAATGTCCCCATGTCCATCTGTAATTCCAGTCTCCCATTTGGTCCCCTAGGGGAGTGTCCACCAAGTGGGAGACCTGCATAAATATGGGCAGGTAGCCCACAGTAAAGCCAGATCCTGTTTGATCCTCAATGCGGAGCTTCTGTCTCGTTATTGTGGGGATTTCTTCTTTGCGCTTAGAGACTGCTGATTGGAACCAAAAGCCGCTTGGTGGATATTGTTGTTCGGCGGCTAGCAGCAGTTTGTGGATTTCCGTTCGGGAGTTTGGAGCCTTTCACGGATCCCGGTTGGGAGATTGCCGCTTCCCCTGAGGTTGGTTCATATACTGCAGTTTATGCGAACGGAGTTATTGGTACTGCAGAAGGGGAAGGCTAACTTAACAGCGGTTTCGTTTAACGACACCAGGGGTGTCTTAACAGGATGTTTTTCAATTAATTCACCATGCAAAAGCAGCGTGAAGGATGACCATGTCCTTGTCAGATATATTCTTCCCACGAATAGCTAGATAGTCTAATTCAATTCTGTAAAGGTTAGAGTCTTTGATTTTAGTTAAGTTTTAGATGTAAACAGGTTCTTTGAAAAGAGGTAATCCCCAAGACTTGCACAGCCAGGCTCAACTATTAGGATCACAGGAACAGATTTGTAATGATTCATTTAAGGAGGAATTAGATTAATCAGTGAGAAACCACACAGAGATCTTTCAGAGATGTGTTTGTAACCTTGGTCTTCAAACAATATACTGGTAGTTTCAGTTTCAAGGGAGATGTCTTTAGATCTTAACATTTAACCAATATCTGGGTAAACATGTCCCCCAAGTGGGGAAAATAAAATGAGTCCATTTTGCAGATGTTCTTCCCTGAAATGTGGACAACAAAGGTCTTTACCTGCAGTGTGCATCAGCATTTCCTCATACCCACCAAAGCTTTAATCCACTCCTAGAGGCAGCAGCAGCAGGCTTGTCTGGTCCAAACCCCGACATAGAAAGCAAGCCACCTGGTCCATCTTAGGAGAAGAAAAAGCACCTCAGTTGGCACATACTTGTGCTTTATTGATCCATACAAAACTGTGTTTACCACTTCTGACCGTGATGATTTTTATCTACATTATGTGACAGAACATCACCACAATCAGGTTTGGACCCACTGCACAGGAATCAATCTAAATAGTGTTCACTGCTCACAAGTCCTCATTTTGGTTTGTCTCATTTTTAAAAGCTTATTCAGCTGGTGCCTATGACTCCCAATAACATGACCACCACAACAATGAGAACAGAATCACGGAGGGCCTTATTGTTGTGCAGGTCACAATTCTGTTCAGTTTTCTTTTTTTTTTTTTTATGGCTGTAGTTTGAATTTTAGATTGTCTGGAATAGTAAGAACCTCTGTATTATTTAATCAGTATTTAAAGTGTTGCATTAAAGCGTTGCATTCTGTGTAAATTGTTTAATTAATTAGTGGTGGGCTATATAATACACGGCTTTCTACGGTTAAAATTTACTAGACAAAGGCCGCTGTTGGTGACCAAATCCTGGGTGGCTTCTTTCTATTTATGTCTACACGTTGAGATATTGTGTTTCCCTGGACCCTCTCTACATTTTATGTAACAAAAGTATTGGCATCATTGGTGTATTAGACACAGATTCAGGGCCGCCATTAGAAATTTTGGGGCTCCTTACTCAGCTCAGGGTCTGCCCTCCAAGCCTGCCCACAAGGACCACCTCCAAATCCCACCCACAGGAATACACACACAGACATAAACACACGCACTGATACAAAAGGACACAGATACACAAA